TTGGAAGACAATTGGATTCTGTTTTGCTCGATGTGATGTAGTGGGGCTGTATAAAATGGCTTTGAGTTCTTGCTGTTTTGCTTAAGTGCTTGATTGTTTCAGTCTGGTTAGGTAATGTAGCTGAGAGGTCCTTCACATCACCGGGCCAATAGAGGGTAAGCTGAACTCATTGTAGTGGAAAAAGCAGTCAGTGACACATCCTTTGAGAAACAGTTAGGCTAAATATCTTTTGAAAGTACTGGCATCTTTCTGTGGGACGAACTGGAGTTTGTCCAGCTTTAGCTTTATTTGGAGTGTTATGGGCTGGGTATCGGCAGCTGCCTCATGATATGATGTATACCACACATTTTTCTCTAGACCTGTTTTTAGAAAATACTTTTTTTCTTTCAAAATTAATAATTGTCTCCATTTCATTTTGTCTTTTTTCAGTGTTGTGCCTATTTTATTTTATGAAATGAAATGAAATTAATCCTGAAAAAAAAATGAATTATGGTTTTCACGAAATATTAAGCAGCACAACCGTTTTCAACCATGCTCGAAATATTTCTTCTCTAATAAGCATATTAAATGATTTCTGAAAGATCATGTGACACTGAAGACTAAAAAAATGGCTGCTGAAAATTCAGATTTGCTATCGCAGGAATAAATGACATTTTAAATAGTGCTGTCAAACGATTAATAGCATCCAAAAGGTTTTTGTTTACATAATATATGTGTGTGTGTATACTGTGTATATTTATTATGTATATATCAGAGGTGGGGGACTCAAGTCACATGACTTGACTCGAGTCAGACTTAAGTCGCAAATTTTAGGACTCGAGACTTGCTTGACAAATATTCATAAAGACTTGACTTGACTTTGACTTGATATTCATGACTTGAGACTTGACTCGGACTTGAGTTAAATGACTCGAAATAACTTGTCTTTCGTTTAATAAATATCTGGGGGGGTTTTAACGCACCGCAACCTAACCAAGTGACGCAGCAGGCAAGCAGAGCATGCGCAGTGTTGCTAACTTGGCGACTTTGTCAATAGATTTAGCGACTTTTTTCCCCCCAAAAAAGTGCTTAGCGACAAATATAGCGACTTCTTGGACAAACCTTATAGTTTCTGAGACTCGCCGGTACTGCCGCACGAGCACGAGGTCTTGTTTTCCCAGCGCGCACACACCTCTCTCTCTGTCTGCTCTGTTCAGCGAGCGGCTGAGAGTAGCAGCGCTTTAGGTTAAACAAGATATTCTGTCACTTCTAACTCTTATTTTACATCAAATATAGCCGAAATCACAGCACAGCCATTGTCTTTATCTTACGTGTATTTGATTTCATTAGACGACGTCGTGAATATGAATCAGGATTTTTGTGCAGATTAACATCTAACGGAGAGCTGGTAGTCTTAATGGGCCGTGTTTCAGTCTCTATTTCATATTCATCCCGTTGTCTTACAACATAAACAGAAAAATATACCAGTGAAAACAGTTTTATTGAGAATTTGGCTGCATTAAAATACAGTTTGTGAGCACTATCAGATTTATTTTTTTGCAAGTGGAATGCATTGTAAATGGTTATTCACTGTTTATAAGGAATAGCAATAGCACTTAGTATTTGCATGTGTACAGTGTCTAATAATTGGTCTTCAGTGTTGGACTTTGAGTGAAAAGCCTATGGATAGTTTATGGGGATGCATAAAAGAAACAAAAATCATACTGTTGCAAATCCAACCATGCATACACAAACAAACAAAACAAAAAAAACAAACTTGCAAGCGCAACCATGCACACTCATACACGTGCACACACATTCACTCACAAATAATATTAATAAATCACACTCACTCAAATCACCTCTCTCTCGCTCTCTCTCTCTCTCTCTCTCTCTCTCTCTCTCACTCTCTCACACACACACACACACACACACACACACAGATTAATAATGTACATTATAAACAGGTGCAAGGTTTGTGTGATTCGATTATTAATATTTTTTCTTGTTGTTGTTATTCTTTTGTTAAAAAGGAAGGATCTAACTTATTCCACACCCACCTACTTGAATTTATATGAATTATCTTAAGACACAAAATTTGTTTAATATTTTATGCAACACAGTAGGAAAAAGTGTCAGAGAAAATAAAAATGTTGTACAAAAATTGTATTT